CGTTGGGTGGGGGGCGACAAAAAAAAACGAGGCATATATAAAACGGTGACGATCTTCCCCACCAACCTCTGCTTGGAGAGTAATGACGGCCGACACGCGGGCCGGCACCCTGTCTCAAGATTCACAATTAACTCAAACCCAAGGGCGTCCACCGGGAGTTTACCTGTTTACTACTACTTTAAACTACTGTATCAGTTTGAAAAGTCTACTTTGATGAATGAAACTCTACACATAAAGTTTTACATATCCAATGGTGCTGTATAGGCTTACCTTGAAAGGCCCGTCTTCTGCATACATCTCTTTCCACATCTTTGTGTCCTGAATGTCGCGGACGAAACGGGGCACTTCACTCTTCAGCGTGTTGCCGTGTTCCTGTAGTTTTCTGGCGATCTCTGGTACCCCGTAGAGCGTTTTGATCGTCGGAATCAGGGGGAAGTAGTGGTACTCCTTTCTTGGCTTCCCTCTGCTGTCTTTTCGCCCCTCTTTGCAGATGGGACACCGCTCAGCGTCCCGATGTTCTCCTCGGTACATGATGCAGTCGTTGGGGCACACGTCGTACGTTTCCGACTTCGGTAGCAGATCGCTAACCATTGACACTGCCTGTTTGTACGAGCGAGGGACCTCGTTTGCGATGCCATGGTCGTCCAACAAGTTTTTAACTAGCGAGAAGTAGGCCGTGACGCACTCCTGGGATACGCCAGGATGCTTGGCCCTTATCTCTAAAACCTTGGCCGTGAATCCTATCACAGTCCATTTTGTTGAAGATCCATTTTTGATGACAGGGCCGTTTCTCGGGTCGTGTTCGCCGGCCTCCAGAAGAACGGCTATTGGCGGTTTCTCTTTTATCACTTGGCCCTGTAGAGATTTTTGGACAGCTTTCCTCGTGTGCTCACGGGCAGTCCTCGCTGGGACACGCTTCTTACCATCACATGACGGGCAAAAGCAAGTTTCTAAGGAGTCTGAGTGTTCCATGGTTCCATAAGGGCTAATGGAGAACAATACTACTCCAAGCTGTCTTCTGCTCGCGTTTGACGGCCTGCTTCAGTCAGTGTCGCTGAAGCGAATGACTTCAAAAGCGCGAGTTATTCAACTTCTCCAGACACAGACAGCAATCAAGTGTAAAACTATTGTCTAGACGGAGACGCCAATCGGTCGTCTCCCACATCCCTGTCATAAAACAATCCGCATTACAAAGATCTTCAAAGTAAACGGTCCTTTTGTATTAGTTTCGCACTTCCATGTTAAAACTCTGAGCAATGAATATGCGCCATATCTGTCATCGCTAATCACAGGGCGGTTCGCCGTGATAAGTAACACGTCAATTTATGCACATTGCAAGGACGGAAGTAAAAGACGAATTATAAAAAAAATGACATTTTCCCCTTCTTACATCCTCCTCCTGTTTCTTACAGTGCGACTCGAGACGTTTGAAGTCAGGAAACGCTGAGACGCTAACTGACGATATGACTACAAACTCAGGCGAAAATATGACGCATGCGCAGTGAAATTGCGTTCTGTGATCAGACTGTCACAACAGTCCCCACGACCAAGGTTGTACTATAAAATCACCCAATAAATTCGGCTAACGTAAACTACTGGACTTCTGACTCCGTGGTGGTAACATGGGCAGAGCACGGTGGGCAGAGACCTTGCTACACATGTATGACAGTGAACAAGACAAGTTTCTATTCAAGATATTCTAAATGTTCAGACAACAGATAAGGGATTGAGGGTACTATTTGTAAGAAGTTTAGTCTCACCTAATTCAGTTCGATCAGAGACGTGCCCCGTAAAACTTCTGTTTACATTTTAAGAAAGGTCTGGCACATGACATCATGTCAAGAAAAGTCTGATATAGCACATCGTGTAAACAAAGGTCTGACACATTACATCATGTTTTCACTGCTGGAGATGTCAATCTACTCGGGTGGGGTGTGGTCGCGTGGCAGCTAGAGTTGTCGAGTATTCAGAACAAAGGGGATTAGCACCTCAGATAAAGAATGAAGACCTTTATTGTACATTTTTGCCCCACTGGGCTAATCACAGGTCACATAATACATACACATATACGAATACATATTCATATAAATATACATATAATAGAACTATTAAATGTATAAACTCAATGCGCAGTAGGAGCCGCTATCTGACAATCAGTGAGATCAAGGACATTATACACATGTGTGTATAATGTCCTTGGTGAGATATTGACCTCTCTCTCTTACCTATAATTGGACATATAATCTCCATGCAGATCTTTTGGTGGCAATTTAGTTTCTAATGGAAATAATAAAAATCTAGAAATTGCGAAGTGTTTATTCCTCATGCACTTCCTTTTTGGCTGTCCACGTGCTTCTCCCGGCTTGCGCTTACCCCCCGCCGGGGTGGCCCCAACCCGACGACTCTCCCAACAGTCTTTTTCTTCCCTTTCCCCTTGATGGGCTGATTGTCCTTTTGGAAGACGGATCTCGCATCACTTTCCTCTGCAACAGAGATGTGAAAGTTTAGATTTGACTCACATGTTGCCGATTTTATTTGATTTCTCAAATCAAGTTACATGCGTCCTCTAATGTAACATCTTGGTGATCCTTGGTAGGGAGAAAGTTTGTTATTGGTGTCAGTCTATAATTCGACAGCTGTGCAAAATCATCAGCTTTTTCCTCAAGTTTACGGAAGTCGACATTTATTTGGCCTTATATGTCCAGATACTAGTACCTGCATTGTAGTCCCTATCGCTCTCAGGGTCCAATTCTGCATCGATCGTTGGACGGCCCGCTTCTTGACACATTGTTTCACTCGGTAGCTCCTGTTTTTTTTTTCACTGTTTAAGGGTTTTTTTTTTTCACTTCGGCGCCATCCAATTTCACACATAGTTGTTCATAACACCATGTACCATCCTTCGTCGGGCTGGAGCTAGTCATTGGACAGCGGGTAGACCCAGAGCTCTTTCCTTTCCTTCCCACATGTGATAATGGCTTACAGATGTGGGACCGGCATCTGGAAAAGTGCGCAAGCGCGCAAGTTTCAGCGCCAATTTTGACCCGGTAGCATCCCGCGCATTTTCAGTGAGAAGCGCTCAGGAAAACATGGATTTTCCAGACCACCTCAGACCTCCGCTAGCGCCAATGGAAGGTAATGATTTCATTTATAAAAGATATATTGCTACAGATATGATGTCGTACCCTACAGCATGGTTTACAGAGAGGAAAACTTTTTTCGTACAAATTATATGTCACCACAAAAGCTTTTTCTCCCTCTAGTACAAGAGGTAGAACAAATTACTAAAGATAACAAGGGTCACCACATTCACTCCAAATTCTATGTTCATTTAATACGTTGTGATAACATTGAATCTATACCAAATACTGTTGTTTTCTCCAGGCCCGTTTCTGCAAGAACTGAGGAATGCCCCCCTCCCCCTCGACCAGTGGTTAAGGGTCAACCCGGCCAACAGAAATCTCTTGAACGTAAGTGTGTGTTTAGTGTGTTTTATTTGTTGATCATTGCAACCTTAAGTCAACTGTTAACTAAGTTATAGGCTATGCTCGCTTTATTGAGGCACGAGAAATTGTTCTAATGCATGGTTACATTGCACGTTGGCAACTTCTAGTTAGCCTGGATGCCAGAGACCCGGGTAGCCTGGGTGCCGGCCAACAGAAATCTCTTGAACGTAAGTGTGTGTTTAGTGTGTTTTATTTGTTGATCATTGCAACCTTAAGTCAACTGTTAACTAAGTTATAGGCTATGCTCGCTTTATTGAGGCACGAGAAATTGTTCTAATGCATGGTTACATTGCACGTTGGCAACTTCTAGTTAGCCTGGATGCCAGAGACCCGGGTAGCCTGGGTGCCAGCCCCTACCGCGAGTGAGTGATAACAGATAAGCTCTTCGGCCAGGAAGCCATACCCCGCTAACCCAAGTTTGGCACCCTGGCTCTAAAAAGGTTAGGGCAGCGGATACTGTAGCGGACATAGGGCTTCTCCCCGCAAAAAATCTACTGCTTATGAACGCCAGCGTTTGGCACCCAGGCTAAGACCCGGGCTACTTCTGATAGAAATTACCCTGGAAGCCAGAGTACAGCGGGTCGACCGGTTTGTTCTCGGGCCGCCAAGCAACTATACCCGCGAAACACGATCCAGCCGGCCAGGGAAGGTTTAATACTGCGGGGGCGCTAACCTCCTCTGGCCGGCCTGGCTCGTCCAAATCAAACCCAGTGTTGTAACATCTGCAAATGATAGAAGGGTGTGGTAAACACAAGATGTTCACTCGCTTTTGGGAAGCGATGCTATCTCGGAAAAAACGCCTGCTGGGATGTCATTGGAGCCACGCAGATGGTCGGAACCCGATCTGCTTGGTGATACTCTTCCAGCCGCCTCCCAAATCCTGGTAGATGTACGCGTACAGTGCACAAAAGAACGACAAGTTAGTCATATTTGCCCTTTTTCGGCATGTTGACCACCGTCAGAAGGATTTTTTTTCTTTGGAAATCAGGCGAAAATCAATGCGCGCGCTGATGTCTTCCATAAAAATTACTTGTTGTGGGCTAAATGAAGTAACGTGAACTAACGTGCGTGTGTAGCAAAAAAGTCGGATTTTGACAAGAAAGCAAGTGATTGGTATGGGAATGTGAGGATGTACCACACACAACATGGCTGCACACAGAGGGGAGGGGTGATGACGTCACGTGCCTCTGGCAGGAATTGGGAGGCGGCTGGAAGAGTAGAAATTTAATATCCAAGCAGATCCTACGGTGGCATTAGACCTGTTGAGGCATTCAAAAATTCTAGAGATTGCATTGGGGGGAGGGGGTCTGGAAACGCTGAAGTAGGGATGACAAATAATGTGCTATGTTGAAGTTAAAACGACCAGTAACGCTTCACGATTCACATACCGACAACATTGAGTTAGAGCGGGCCGGCTACGATTAATGGTGAATTAATAGCGCATAACACTTTAAGGGCATGCCGGCTCTCCCTATCCCTAATCCTCACAGGAACGTTTCTTGTATAATCGCCTGTTTAACCTACGCTTCTATGTTGACACACAGAGGGTCTGCAGGGACGTCTGGAAGGAGCTGGTGGGCCGGGACGTCGGCGGGAGGAAAGCGGACTGCCTCCAGATACGGCAGGCGGTCGGTTTTGTCTTGCAGACCCTGCCAACCATCAGAGACGATGTGTATGCCAGGGAAGATGTCACCAAGCGCATCGTGCGCAATGGGCAGAGGCGGCGGTACAGAAACAAGCAGCCGACGCCACAGGCACCAAGGTATTATAATACTTACCTGGAGATCTGACGATTGTCAAAATGTTGAAAAAAAGATTCAGCACAGAGAGACGCAGCGCACACAGAAATGGCCGTAAATTAGTGATATTTTTAATGTGTAATCTGTTCGTAGCGTTTTCTTAAATTTACCACCAGTACGATATTCCCAACTCATCTCTATTCCTTTATATCTGTAGGAATGAAAACAGGCGTGCCACAGATAATCACCGAAGGTGGGTATGATTTTTTCATCATTCAGCAGTTTATGGATTGAACAGTTTGTCTTATTGACGAAATCTACCATTGTCTTGCCAAGGTTACTTCCCAGAAGATTCCTAAATGAAATTTTATATTCCATAAATGAAATTTTATATTCCAGTTGAATTTGGTCACGGTAACTTGTATGGATTTTGCATAATAGTTGGATAATGTATGCTTCAAGAAAACCATTGAAGAATGAGACTGTATTGTGTTTGGCGTCTCATTGATAACATTATCCTTATTTTCCCTTGCAGAAACGAACGCCAAGACCTGCAGATCAAGCCAGGGTAAATTGCTATACTTCCTTCTACCTGACATGTTAATGAGCAGTTACATTTGTTGACTTATCTACAGTATACTACAGTTGTCATACTAAGATTTATATGGAAGGTTATGGACAGACAAGGAGGTCTGTACCTCCTAACGGAGTGTTATAAACAGCCGTTTTT